GGGCTACTTTTACTCATACTTTGAGTAATATTTACAAAACATACCTTTACTCTACTTGCACTACATTTTTAGGCCAGTAGTTGTATTTTAACTTGAGTATGAATTGTCAGTACTCTTTCCACCACTGCCAATGTGCTTATTTAAATCTTAATTAGACGTCCAAATGAAACATCATCTCTGCACATTGGTCATTCTTAAACCTCTACATCGTCTTTCCAAATCTCCTCTCACCGTTTCACACGTCTTCTTCCACAGTGCATTGAGTGAGAGCTTGCTTTTGGAAGAACTCGAGTAGCGCCCGCTATTTTTACATTTTTCATCATTCATCAGGCAACCATGGCGACGGCGCACAACATTGCCTCACACCAGTCCTAATGACATAAGCGCTCTTTCCTGGATTCAGTCTCTCCGGCTCCATCCCTAAACAGACGTACTCAAAACTCATCTGCTATTGTACTCTCTCACTGTGTGGCTATGGAACCATCAGTGTCAGCATTAGGACCTTCTGGATTTCTCATCCGAAAGAGGGAGAAGGTTCCAAACCATGCATCAGCCTCTCCAAAGCTCAGAGCTAAAGCACCTCGTATGGATCACTTATTTCGGCCACCAGAACTTTGCTCGGTTTTTTTTCCCCACACAAGTTGCTTCATGATGGAATGACGTTGATGGTGTGCATGTGTGGGTTTCTTCCATCACGGCATGATCACCGGATAGCTATTCAGCGGCTATTTTTGGTGTAGCTCATTCCAATTATAGAGCTTGTGTATTTCTTTGCACTTAAAATCTCATTACAACCTATTTAAATTTGATGGACTAGTCATCCAGGACAAGACGTTTTATTTTTATAGAGAGAAGTTTCCAAGAGAAACTAAACAATTACATAAAAGTTAGTAATTGTTGATTTTGTGCAAACTTTTACATCTTCAACACACACAAATACACAAAACACACCTCAGAACTGTCAAACATTCATTCATTTATTTTCCTTTGACTTAGTCGCTTCATTCATCAGGGGTCGCCACAGCAGAACGAACCACCACCTATCCAGCATATGTTTTACGCAGCGGATGCCCTTCCAGCTGCAACCCAGTACTGGGAAACACCCATACACTCTCACATACGTTTATTCAGTTCACCTATAGCACATGTCTTTGGACTGTGGGAAAACTGAAGCACCCGGAGGAAACCCATGCAAACTCCACAAAGAAATGCCAAGTGACCCAACCGGGACTGCTTTCTGTGAACCAACAGTGCTAACCACTGAGATACTGTATCACCCAACTGTCAAACAACATATTGTCATTTATAGAATTTATTTAGGTGAAATTGACTATATACTCTCAGAAATAAAGAAAGGCTAGCTGTCACTGGGGTGGTACCTCTTCAAAAAGCTCAAATTTATACCAAAAAGGGCCATAATAAAACCTCAAGGGTACATATTGCTACCTAAAAAGTACAAAAGTGTTTCTCTTAAAATTTGTAGGTACTTCTGTTAGGTATTTCTGAGTGTACAATTCACACTGAGCAAATTTACCTGTTTCCCTCAGAAAGCAGTAGGTCAGGGGTGCCAAAACTCTGTCCTAGTGGGCCGGTGTGATGCAGAGTATAGCTTTAACCCATATTAGACACTAAACAGCTACTCAAGCTCTAATTAGCAAACTAGAAACTAGTGGCAGGTTGGCAACTAAACCCTGGACCTAAACTCTGCAGGACACCAGCCCTCCAGGACAAAGTTTGGACACCCTCCTGCTTTTGGATATGTTTCCATTCACTCTGGACTGATTTCACGAAACACACCTCTAAACTGTCAAACAATATATTGTTATTTATAATTGACTGTATGATTAAAAAAAAAGTTTTTTCAGACCTTAACCCTTGTCTGCTGTTGGGGATGTTTTCATCCACTCTGAGCTGATTTAAAGTCTCAATTTAGCCAAAACTTTCTCTGTGTTTCAGCAAGTGGAATGATTTTTGGTGAAAAATCTGATTTTGACACATAATTTGACAAAATGCTTTGACAATTTTCTAAAATTCATCATTACACTCTGAGCAAATTTCCCTCTTTCTCTCAGAAAGCAGTTGTTGGTGGATGTGGAGCATAGGTGGGTGCCAGATTTTTGTCACTTTGCTTTAGGTCAGGGGTGCTCAAACTCTGTCTTATAGTGGGCCGGTGCTATGCAGAGCATAGCTCAAACCCTAATTAGACACACCTAAACCAGCTACTCATGCTCTAACTAGCATACTAGAAATGTATTAACAGGTTGGTAACTAAACTCTGGACCTAAACTCTGCAGGACACCAGCCTTCCAGGAAAGAGTTTGGGCACTCTCCTGCTGTTGGGGATGTTTTCATCCACTCTGATTTTGAGTCTTAATTTGGCAAAACTTTCTCTGTGTTTCAGCAAATGGAATGATTTTTGGTGACAAATTTTATTTTGACGCATATTTTGGTCAATGCTTTGATAATTTTATAAAATTCATCAGTACACTCTGAGCAGATTTACCTCTTTAAAACAGGGAAACCACTAACAATCAAGACTACATGGCTGCAATGCAATGGCTGCGCCATTATAATGGATGTTAATGGGGCAAAAACAGCCACAAACATAATCAAAGGGTAGTAAATTTGAACAGTAAACAAGGGTTAAATATCGATGCCTGTCAAAACTCAACTAATTAGCAAATCCAGAGAACCAAAAATAACTGAAGCGGTCTATATAGTTGCGTGCGTGTGTGTGTGTATATAAAATAAAACTAGTAACAGAAGGTTTCGCTGACTTACTTGGTAGGCATGCACTAAATTCCAGGGGTTTCATTACCACGACGTAAAATGGGCGTGGCTTGGTCGGCGTTTGGGAAACGCCCCCTTAAAGAAAAAAAACAATACTGAGAGGTCACCGATCATGCGCAGTACATGTTCTTTTTTAGCGCGGTCATTTCAAACCGGATGATTATGGATAAAGAACCTACCGCGGTGGATAACGAAGGAAAAAAACAATCATACAGGTTATTTTTTTTTTGTTTTTATAATGTTATATTTGAAAGATTTCATTAGCAAAAACAGATGACCTCGTTTTACTCCGTTTTACTGTCTCTGGGCTTTTGTAACTTACTTCCATGGTAACGTAAACCAAGTAATAATGGTTGTGGTAAGATTAACCGTGTTTTTGTAGTTTAAAATATGGTATTCAGTCATGTTTAAACAAATAAATACCACATTTTTCTGTAATAAACCGTGGATAATTTTTCTTTCTCAATCTTAGTTAATTAACATAACTAATATTTATTTTCTATTTTTATTTAAAGTCATCATACACAAAACAACTGAGATCAGGACAGGTATCTGATGTTAACTAATATAAAAGTGATCATACATGAAACACCTGGGATCAGGACAGGTATCTGATGTTACTGTATATAATATAAAAGTGATCATACATGAAACCCCTGAGATCAGGACAGGTATCTGATGTTAACTAATATAAAAGTGATCATACATGAAACACCTGGGATCAGGACAGGTATCTGATGTTACTGTATATAAAAGTGATCATACATGAAACACCTGGAATCAGGACAGGTATCTGATGTTACTGTATATAATATAAAAGTGATCATACATGAAACCCCTGAGATCAGGACAGGTATCTGATGTTACTGTTTATGATATATAAAGTATTTGACACAAAAGCCCTGGGATCGGGACAGGTATCTTAAGTTATAACAGTATTAATGTAATCTGAGAGGTAACTTAAGTTAATTTGTTTAATATAACATACACTGATTTCACATGAAACACCTGATCATGACAGCTATTTTAAAGTACTGCATATAAAAGGCATTGGACGCAAAACCCCTGCGAATACGTACAGGTATTTGAATCAAACGGCTGTTTTCACAATCTGCGCATGATCCGTGACCTATGCAAATTCACATATAGGCCACGCCCACCCGATGACGTAATAGCGGTTACGCTGTACTGAAACCCCTGGAAAAAAGTGCCTGCCTTACTTGGTAGGCCTAAATCACAAGTCCTTATTTTTATTTTTTGTGTGCACAGAAGTATTCTCATAGCTTCATAACAATACAATGGAACCACCGATGACGCATAATGAACATGTTTTGAGGATGTTATTGGACTCTCTCGTGATCTTGAGCTTTTGGGTTTCATTCAAAATATCTTAATTTGTGTTCCTAAGATGAGCGAAAGTGCCTAGGGTCTGGATTGACATGAGGGTGAGTTATTAATGTCAGTTATTTTATTTTGGGGTGAATTACCTCTTTAAATAATGTATAAGTAGATGAATAAAAAATGCTTCAACAGGGTTCATACACATTTTTACTACTAAAATTCCATGAGTTTTCCAAAACTTTCAGGTAAATATCAGACCTAACTTATGTAATGTCTATGTACACAAAGTAAATAAAACAACATGCATGAAAATGCACGGTTTTTACCCAACAAAATGTATTTCATACTTACCCAATATTATATATTCAAGTACACAGATATTTCTTAAACAAATTTCCATAACTTTTCCAAAACATTTTGGGTTTATTTGTTTTTAAAAACTTTTCCAGGCTGGAAAATGCCTTGTTGAAATTCCATGACTTTACCAGGTTTTCTAGGACAGTGAACCCTGTTTAAACAAAATTAAGATAAAACATGAAACACATTTACGTATAGTCCTAGTAAAAATCCTAATTAGATTTTGTCCTTTTATTTTTATTTTTTAAATTTCACGGCATTTCCCTAAAATGGGTGTCAAAATAAGATTTGTCACCAAAAATCATTCCATTTGCTGAAATACAGATACAGTTGTGGCAAACTTGATACTTATCGAAAAAAAAAACCCAGCCCCAACAGCACACAAGAGTTAAGATCTGGAAAAAAAAAAAAAAAAATCAGTGGCTATAATTCAGCAAAGAAATTTCACCTCACTGCGCAAACGGTGCGCAGCTTTAACGCTGAAAACTCGTTTGTGCCGAACACGGAAGTAATTCAAAGAAACTCCCGCGTAGTTTTTATTGTTTGGTTTAGTCATGTGCGTCTGAAAGAGATGCAGTGTGTTTACAACCGAATGACTGTGATGTCTAAACTGAAGAGGAAGAAATTATCAGTCGAGGACTATAAATCCGAACAGCAAACGCTGATCAAAAAGTTAAATGACAGCCGGTGTTCAGTAGCGTTACAGGACAGCAGCTGCGCCACAACATCAACAGGCAGGTATGTATGCTCAGTATGAGGAGACCTTTTCACATACTATTATACTGTGATTTTTGCAATTAATAAATGTATTGTGACTGAACATTGACTGCTGCAGGGAGAGATGGTGGGAGAGCTCAGAGCTGAGTGATGCCGAGAGACTCTGGGCTCTTACCTTGACAGCTCTTTGCCCAAACCTACAGTCAGATGATCTGGAAGAGTCCATTCCACAGCTCCCCCCACCGTCATCCACGGTAATAAATGTTGGTATAATACCTATTCATCACTGGTTATTATCATTAAAAAGGTTGTAAATAATACATTTAACATGTAACTTACTAGACCATCTCTTAGTACTGGTTGATTTTTATCCCAATAATGTTTACATAGGACACAATAGATCACAACAATGTTTCCAAAAACTGAAAGTGTTATATTTATTGAAGTATGTAAATTAATTCCTGAGATGAGTAGATGACTATTTGGAATTAATTTATTATTTTGAATGGGGTTGAATCAGATTTAATGCACATTTCAGAAAATGAAACCAGCAGTGGATTTTGTTTTTCTGGGGTGTTTAGCAGTATTCATGTACAGCAGTTAAATAATCAAATGTGAAATAAAACTACATTGTTAATGCTCGAACATAATCCTTGTTAAAACGAAAACTTATCTTTTTGTGTGTGCCTAAAAGCTTTTAACCCTCTAGGAATGATCGAAATAATAATAATCGGTCTAGTTTTTCCAGGTCAATTTTTCAATTACTTTCCTTACCGTTCCAATACTCAAGAACGGAGGACGCGTGAAACTTCCCAGATGTGTTCTTGATATCGAGGACACATGGATGCAGACTTGAGCACCAAACTTGCTTTAGAAGTCCCAGAAGTCATTGCAACTGGAGATGGGAAGCGCAGCATTTTTTATAGATTTATTATTAAAGTTCAGAAATATTTACTTCTTTATCTCAAGAAGGATTTCCCTAAATGAGACAGTGAATATAAACATTACCATGAAAATCTTAATAAAGGAATAAACACATTAAGGGTGTTTATTCGCTGAAATTTGTACTAAAATCTGTTATCTGTTACATATAGTGTGTAATGTATATTTGTAAAGTCTTTATGCAAAGTATATATTTTGAAAAGGGGGAAAACACCCCGCGTTCGTTCTCCCGAGTTGACCTGGCAAGACCGGTCTTCACAAGAAAGCAAGTCTGTTTTCTGTGTTCTTGGAATTGAGAAACAGCCTATGGTCTGGTCCAGCCTTCTCGCGGTCGCATACCTGTCGTCGCTGTGACTAATGCCGACGCTGACCTCTCAAAAAATGTAACTACACGTCGCGATGACGCATAGCGCAAGCTCTGTGAATGGTTGACTTGGGACTATGTTGACGAGTGTGGGCGAAAAAGAGACAAATAAGTAAGTAAAAGAATCGTTCATTATTCGCAATCGAGTTAAAATGTTCAATTAACCGAGATTTTGATTATCAAATCGCCCAGTCCTATGAGACATGCTGCAACTTTTACAGAGACGCACATTGCAGTTTTTATGCTGAAATGATGTGATGTGCAGCCTTATTGTAATGATGGCATTTTTTTACACAATACTAATTTACCCTTAATAAGGAAATAAATGCTTTTCACATACTTGTTAACCTTCAGAAGAAAGGATGTAGTCATAAACTGCACAGATAAAAAAAAATTCATAATCTGCACACATTCAAATAAATATGCTACATATACTCCTCTAAATTCTGTTTGACTTTTTTTTTTTCTTTTGGAAACTGTTTTATGATTCTATAACCAAAGGAACTATGAGACATTTAAAATTGTAGTTAATATTTTAAAAATATAACAATTAATTTACAGGCAAACATTCGTTTTTTATTTATTGCTCAACAAAACTGTTTAAACTAGAAATGAGCTTATAATCAATCTCAGTTTGATAAGATTCATCACCCAGCCCTAGTACTTATATTATTGTATATAATACTTTGTAATACATTCATTTTCCATCAGCTTAGTCCCTTATTTATCGGGGGTCGCCACAGCAGTATAAACCAACTATTCCAGCATATATTTTAAGCAGTGGATGCCCTTCCAGCGGCAACACAGTGGCGCAGTAGGTAGTGCTGTCGCCTCACAGCAAGAAGGTCGCTGGTTTGAGCCTTGACTTAACCTCGACTGGGTCAGTGGCGTTTCTTTGTGGAGTTTGCATGTTCTCCCTGCGTTTGCGTGGGTTTCCTCCGGGTACTCCCGTTTCTCCCACAGTCCAAAGACATGCTGTACAGGTGAATTGGGTAGGCTAAATTGTCCATAGTGTATGTATGTGTGCGCATGAGTGTGTATGGGTTACCGAGTGATTGGTTGCGGCATCCACTGCGTAAAACATATGCTATATAAGTTGGCGGTTCATTCCGCTGTGGCGACTCCAGATTAATAAAGGGACTAAGCCGACAAAAAAAATGAATGAATGCCCTTCCAGATGCAACCTACTACTGGGAAACAACCAAACACTTATTCTCACACACTTATAGACTATGGCCTATTCACCAATAGCGCATGTCTTTTGGATGGTGGGGGAAACATGCACACAGAAATGGCTCAGCTGGGACTCGAACCTTTGACTTTCTTGCTGTGAGGCGACAGTGCTAATTACTGAGCCACTGTGCCACCCTTTCCTCTGTAATAGATGTCATGAAAGATTTGTGAGGTGTTAAATCCAGCTTTGTGTCCTGAAATGGATGTAAGATGCAAATAGACGCAGTAATATCTAAATATGACTTCATGCAGTCACTATGAGGCAAAATGCACTAAACACTTCATTCCCTTCACTTAAATGTCATTTTTGAATTGCCAATCGTATATCACTGTCTTGAAAAGCAGGACCCACCCTTGAACTGTGAAATCTCCAATCTCACATTTTCCTATGTTCTTGGGAACAGTGGGCTAAATGTTGTTTTCCATGGGGATGAGAGAATGGATGACACTGAACTGTCCTTTTCCAGAATCTGCAACAAGGCTGCGGTGTGCTGTCCTGGGCAGCATGTTTATTTAATGAATGACATTTTCCATGAATAGGGTCGACTTTGGTGTCCTGTTACTTAAAAACATACAACAGATAACATTCGAGGCATGAATCACAAACATAAAATTAGACGAAAATATCAGAATTTAGACATCTCTTTAAAAGATTCAGTTGATTGTATTAAAATCTAATATTCTTTTAATGAACCATACATATTTAGCCATGCACCACATTTCTATTTTATTCTTAACAGGTTTGCAAAGGCTAAGTTTGATTGCATAAAGTCTTTTAATATGTGCTAAAAGTTTTTCATTGACCAAAGACTTTAAATAATTTTGTTTTGGCTTTTTTATATCCTATCTACAGTTAAAGTCACAATTATTGAACCCACTGAATTATTAGCCCCTGTTTATTTTTTCCTCCAATTTCTGTTTAACGGATAGAAGATTTTTTCAGCACATTTCTAAACATAATAGTTTTAATAACTTCTTACTAATAACTGATTTATTTTATCTTTGCCATGATGACAGTAAATAATATTTAACTAGATATTTTTCAAGACCCTTCTATACAGCCTAAAGTGACATTTAAAGGTTTAACTAGGTTAACTAGGCAGGTTAGGGCAATTAGGCAAGTTATTGTATAACGATGGTTTGTTCTGTAGACTATCGGAAAAAAAATATAGCTTAAAGGGGCTAATAATTTTGACCTTAAAATGGCTTTTCAAAAAAATAAAAACTGCTTTTATTCTAGCTGAAATAAAAAACATAAGACTTTCTCCAGAAGAAAAAAACATTATAAGACACACTGTGAAAATGTCTTTACTCTGTTAAACATAATTTGAAAAATATTTTAAAAAAGATTAAAATAAATAAAGAAATAAATAATAAATAAATAAAAATCAAAGGGGGGCTTATAATTCTGACTTCAACTGTATGTAAAGTGTCAAATAATATACATTTATTTTCTCCAAGTGTTTATCTTTTCATAATGGAGTATTTTAAAAAGGCAACATAATGTTAAAATTTTTTAATTAGCTCTTTATCGCATCGGTTTGGATTTAGAAATCATACATTGATTTGGTTTTTCTTTTAAACCACTAACAAAGCTGGTGTCCAAGCAGCCAGTGTTACCTTTGTTAACGAAATGTTTACGTCATAATTTTCATGATGAACAAGTTTCTACCGAGGAAAACTAAATAAAGTGATGAGTACTACAACTATAATAAAAATCTACTGACATTTTTGTGGACTAATTAAACGAAGTGAGAATGTGATTGAGAGACGTTTTCTTAAAAATATCCAATAAGAATTAATCTTGCTGTGTGATTCATGATGCTTAATGACACTTATCGTTTACGCACATCTTCACTTTATAATTCCTCTATGAGTAAACAGAGCCATGGGACATTTTGCAACACATTATCATTTGCCAGTCATAATTCATTACGCTACTTATTTACTCAGTGCTATACAGCTGAGCCACATGTACTGTAACACAATCTACAACAGTAAAGTTTGTCATAGACTGATATTGCAAAGTGAACTTAAACAATTTTAAGACCTTTCAAGTATTTAATGGGTTGAAATTGTCCAACAGACTGGTTAATGGACTAGTAGTTCAGGCCCCACTAGTAACACCACATTAAAAGAAAGGGCTTGCTAAATAATCCTGCATTTTCAATAGGCTACTGTTACATGTTACATGCTATATGTGAATTGATTGCTGACACATAGTTTACGTATTACTTATGATATAAATAAACAGTGATATCTAATTTTTGGTCTTCAATGGAAAAGTTACAAGGCATCACAGTGGCGCAGTGGGTAGCAGGATCGTCTCACAGCAAGAAGGTCACTGGTTTGAGCCTCGGCTGGGTCAGTTGGCATTTCTTTGTTCACGTGTTCACGTGGGTTTCCTCCAGGTGCTTCGGTTTCCCCCACAAGTCCAAAGACATGTGCTATAGGTGAATTGGGTAAGCTAAATTGTCCATAGTGTACGTGTGAATGAGTGTGTATGGTTGTTTTCCAGTGATGGGTTGCAGCCGTAAGGGCATCCGCTGCGTAAAAAAAATGCTGGATAAGTTGGCGGTTCATTACGCTGTGGCAACCCTAGTTTAATAAAGCTACTAAGCTGAAAATGAATGAATGAATTTAATGTATACAATATTTGAATTAAATTACACTTAAATTAAAAAAAAAATATTTTAATTAACTAAATCTCGAGTAGATTTAGTTGACTAAAATCTTATGAAATTTAGTGGACTAAAACTAGACTAAAACTTAAATTATTCAGAAGACTAAATTATGACTAAAAACTATAATGGAAAGACTAAAATTAAATCAAAATTTGCTGTCAAGTTTAACACTGCAAGCAGCACCATTTAAAAATATGAATTAATGTTACTATTGGAAGGGTGTAATTTACAAATGTGATAATTTCTGTACTTATTACCGTGAGCTATATTTTTATCTGTTCCCTCAGAAATCTCCTGTTCAAACAGTAAGTGACTGGAGATGGTGCAATGGAAACAAAGATGTAAATCCACCTCCTGGTCTGCCAGCTCCATCATTCCTTGTTCACCCACCACCAGCAAATGACCCCAAGAACCCTTCACAACCTCCAGCAGAAGAAAATACCAGGGCATCTGATCCACCAAGCCTTTCTGATCAAGAGAAACATGCATCTTCACCTGATGGAGACAGTGTGCCAGTATGCAGTACACAAACTACTCAGCAGCGCAAACTAGATGATGGAGTCAACTGCCTTGAAGATTGCAAATTGTTGGATGATCAGGGTGACAGATTTGGTCAAGCAAGGAATGTGTCTGAGACAAGAAGATCTCAAGCAGAATCAAGAACAGTCAGGTCAGTAGAAGGGAAGAGTGCAGAAATGGGTGCAGGAAAATCTGAATCAGGCATAAGAACATTTTCTGGAGCAGAAGGACCAGCATTAGTGCTGGAAACAAAACAAGAAGCAAGTGGGTCTGGATCAGGACAGGAAGCAAAGACTGGAGCAGGTCAAAGGGCAAAATCGGGAGTAAGAGAATTTGGATTGGGAACAGGAACAAAATCTGGAATTGCCAAAGGAGCCAAATCAGGACTGGGAAGAAATTCAATTGCAAGTGGATCTGGATTAGACCTGGGAACAAAATCTGGAGCAAGTAGATCTGGATTAGTACTGGGAACAAAATCTGGAGCAAGTGGATCTGGATTAGTACTGGGAACAAAATCTGGAGCAAGTGGATCTGGATTAGTACTGGGAACAAAATCTGGAGCAAGTGGATCTGGATTAGTACTGGGAGCAAAATCTGGATCAGGACAGGAGGCAAAATCAGGTCTAGTAAGATCTGGGTCAGGACTAGTACAATCTGGAACTGTACAGGAGGAAGAAAACGGACTAATGGTATTTAGGTCAGGACTGGGAACAAACGCAAGAGCAAGTGGATCCAAATTAGGAATGGAAACAAAATCTGGAACAGAATGGGAGGCAAAATCAGGAATACGAGGATCTGGAACAAATTCAGTGGAAGAGAAAATAGCAAATTCAGGATCAAGTGAATCTGGATTAGGACTGGAAACAAAATCTGGAACAGAACAGGAGGCTAAATCAGGAACAAGAGAATCTGGAACAAATTCAGGTGAAGAGAAACTAGCAAAATCAGGATTAGGAAGATCTGGAGCAAATTCTGGAGCAAGTAGATCTGGATCTGGACTGGAAACAACAAGAAGTCCTGAAGGATCTGAATCAGGCTTGGAAACAAAATCAGGAGCAGAACACAGGTCAGAACTGGAGTGCTGTCCCATGTGTCTGATGCCATTTCCAGCCGGGTGAGTAAGTTTCATCTAAGGGTGCAATTACATGTCTTCACACTGCAACTCTATAGTCTGTATCTAAATATAGAAAGCTTATTGGCTGCATCCAAAATCGCTTACTACTCAGTAGGTACTACATTTGAATTTAAACGTACTTCTCGACTGTTAGAAAAATACGTTTTCTACAGTATGAATGTGAGTAGTATGAAAGGAACTCGGACATACTGCATCCGCCATTTTGTCATCAGCACGTGATATACCCACATCAGTTGCTGGCTTCTCTCTCATTTACGAGTTCTCATAATTGGGATGTAAAAATAAGCGATATAGCCACCACAATAAGGGATATTCCCACCCATCTAAAATTAATTTATTGTAAATAAACAGTTAAATTATCAGTAATATGTTTTATTTAGAAATATTATTATTATTATTTACAAAAGAAAAAATAAAATGTACACATTAGCAGCAAATAAATTAGAAAACAGTTCAGATAATTAAAACTAATAGCTTTTATAAAGAAATAGAATCAAGTTATTAAATCTCATTAACCTTTTTTCACTGTGTAACTTACACATTCTGATTAAAGAGCAGCGAATGAATCTCTTTCATTTAGATTTTTCGTTTGATTACATTATATTTTAAAAATGCACACATCTAACGTTATAATGAAAGCATTCGATTGCTTTCCTAACTTTTGTACAAAAGTTTTCAGGCCCTAAAAATGATGTTGCTGTGTAAACAAATGAGCAAAACCCCTAAAAATTTATTTAATTCCATTAAATAAACTTGAACCCAAAATGTCACATTGAAATCCACAGTATCCCAACATTCCCCAATAAGGCATTGTTTTTGGCAGCAGAATAGCTGGTGGAGAACCCTTGTTGGTTGGTTTCTTTGGCTAAAAGTCTTTTTTGGAAGTCATCGGGGTTAAATTGATGGTTGTATTTCAGAATGCCAGATCTGAAGTCAAATCTCGACTCTTTCAGAGGTTAGGTATTTTGCAGAACAGCAACTCAAAAGAGGATGCAGGCGACGTGATGTGCTGTACTTGCAGAGCAGATGCATGTTCTAGAAAGGAGAGACTGAAAGACTGACATCAGCTTTGGCACTAGAGCCAGTTTAGCTGCTCCTTTAGGTAAAGCCAGAACATACACGCTCTCACCCTCACTAACCGCTTGGCAAAACAGCTTGACTAGGCTGGACGATGAAGTGTTGGTGGACGGAATCGCACATTCTCTCACCTCTTTCCAATAGCCAAAATGGAATTAGTCATTTGTTGGAGAAAGACGCTTTATTTTCCCTAAATGAAACGGTTTGGAGTGTTTGCGCCCCAAGATGGATTTCACAGCCATTGTTATGTAACTCACTCCTAGATGATGTGATGTCATCCATGCAGATGTAGAGCACGGGATCCAGTTCAGTTGGGATTTATATTTATTTGAGGCTTCATGAACACCCGATTCTTTATTTTGATGAACATAGCAACGTTCAGCAGCTGCCGTTGTTGTTGTATTACAATAGTATGAAGTATGCAAAGTATTACGCAACACATGGCATTGGATTCTGAGGCTTAAATAACGTGGTGGCTTTGTGGTACAGGGATTGTTTCACATGGCAGTGCCCTGATACTTCATTAAAAACTTTTTAGAGACGTTTGTTTACACAACACTATTTCTATGCATTTTGGCAATTATTTTGAAAACATTTTTACGGCTTATTTGAAAAATGACTATTACATTTTTTTTTTTTTTTTTACTTTTTACAAATGCAAAAGAAAAACTTTTGAACATCATAGCCTAGTAAACATGCTCATAGTATTGAAAATGATGAGTTTTGTTATTATAAACAGTTACCTTTTTATTGTTATTGTTCTTTTAAGTTTAATAATGCATAAACTAAGTTAGTCGGTAGCGCTTCACAGTAGGCTGACTTTTCATGCGCAATTTCATAATAAAGTACATTGCGTAACTCACTGACAAGCTGCACAATACCATGTTTATTATCACAGACGATTTATGCACTCAATAAGGGAAATTTCTAAGATAATGATTAATGTTTGCGTAGCTTCTCAGCGAACTACGACTGTGGATTGCTGCTACATATAAAAGCATGTAAAAAATAATACATTCAATAACATTTTAACTCCAAACTTCTCTTCAATGTATGAAATCAATTCTTCTGTGGGACGAATCTGTGAGCAGTTAAACGCGGTAAAGTCTAGATCAGGGCTTCTCAAGTATATCAGCCTGTAATCCCCAAAATAACATTGCCAGTGACTCGTGACCCTCACTATATTACTAAAATATTAGTCCTTTTGTTAGTTATGGATAAAATATGGCAGTTTTAATAATTTAATACAATTTATTTGATTTTGATAAATCACTAAGCGACCTCCTGCGGGGTCCGACCCCCACTTTGGGAACCACTAGTCTTGATGGTATACAGTTGCGGATTGTCCCATTAATATAGCATCATTTTTGTGACACTCAACAATAATTAATATTTTTACTTTGCTGTGAGGGGTAAGCTGGTTGAAGTAGGGGTAGACACTAATAAAATACAATTGAATGGATGATTTAATAAATAATATAAATATTTGCATAATTACTGTTTTTACTTTAATGTGATGGTTGGGTTTTTGGTTGGGGTAGGTGTTAATAAAGTACAATTAATGGGTAATTTAACAAAAGGCTAATTTAATAGCAACAACCGTTAAGTGTTCTGTTTATTTAGCAACCTCTATAAGGATTTTTTGGGCTGCATCCGAAATTGTTTACTACTCAGTAGGTACTGCAATTTAAACGTACTACTCGGCCATTAAAAAAGTATGTTCTCTACAGTATGCATGTGAGTAGGATGAATGGAACTCGGATGTACTACATCCGCCATTCTGTCATCATCGCCTGACCTAGCCACGTCAGTTGCATCGCCTCACTCCCATTCATCAATTGTCTTATGGTGCATCATGGGATAGTGTAGCGTCCATGCAATGCACACTTTAGAATCTCCCCGGAAGTAGTAGGTAATTCGGGTACTTCTTAAATACTGTTTTTCGAAATCTATATACTATTTTTAGTTTACTATATAGTATAAAAGTATGCGATTTCGGACGCAGCTTTGGTTTCTTTTTTGTGGGTATTTGGAGTTTCTGCTCGATAGCGCCCTCGGGCCTTCGAAGATTTACTACGGATCAGACAACTGTGCTTGCCTGACAAATTCGATTTCGATTCAGTAATTTCTTATGTTCATTTATCAACTAAATTGAACTATTGGTGAGAATTATTCTATGCAACATTGAAAATTCCTTGTTATTATTTATAAAATTGCAGTTGTTTTTTTGCACTTTAGTTTACTGTATTATGTAAATCCAACTACTGTAACAAATACAGCTATTTCTCATCTTAAAAATGTATTAGTATATATGGAAATTCAAATTACCATTAACAAAAATGTTGTAGAATTATTAATAATTGTTATATCATTGTAAACAAATTCTTAACTACTAGGGATGTGACGAGATGCTTACTCTACGAGATGAGATGAGACACGAAATTGAATTAACGAGACGATTTTTACCCTATTTATAAGAAATCGTCTTTTATTCAACTGAAAACAAAAATCATAAATTATTTATCACTATTTAGGTGATTTTTTTAAAATCAACTTGTAAATAATGTTATATTATTTCTATTTTAATGAATTCTATGGAGTAATGGGCATGCAAAACTGCTAAATATCTTGCTTTTAGTCTATGTAAATGGAAAATTGTCTTTTTATCATTTTAAATATTGGCAAAATATTTGCCAGCATATGAATGGAAAATAGATTTTTATTCAACTGAAACAAAATCTTAAACTGCAAAACAATTTAGGTCTTTTAATTTTTTTTTTAATGAATGGTATTTTATTTAAAATTTTCATTTTTTTTTATTTGAAGGAATTCCATGCGGAAAAGGACATGCAAATACTGCTAAAAATCCCTCTAATCTTCAGTGCTAATTTCGCCCTCACACTCCATAACATCACAACTCGACTTCCGCTATGCCTCGTATGGAGTAGATGTGGTTGGAAGTCGCTCCGTGTACATTTATCTATCCTTTCTCAGTAGTTCTGATTTTGTTATATCTCTCTATCTAACTGGGAACTTAAGCGTACAACTTTAAGGAAGAATGCCGAAATCAGTGAAGTCAGGGCGAAACATTGTAGATATGCTTACTGACAAGGGGAGCGAACAGGGAGCTAATGATATAGCTAGTGCTGCAGCTCAAACAGAAGAGATAACAACAGCTTCCTTAAAGGAATTAATGTCATCCACTATTCGCTCTGAAATGTCTTCACTGCGATCTGAGCTCTTATCTGAACTTTGCTCGGCAGTGTCAACGCTACAAACAAACCTGTCCACACAAGCCTAAAAGATCGGCGACATTGAAACTACACTTACTGTTTCTGATGGCCGTTTGACAGCAGTGGAGAAACTGTGAAACACCTCAAACAGAGAACGCTGATCTGAAACTTAAGCTGGATGACCTGGAGAACCATTCGCGGAGACAAAACGTACGAGTCAACGGGCCAAAATCCAGTGACTTTCATGTCATCAATGTTCACTAAACGCTTTGGAGAAGGCACTTTTGAGAGACCCCTCGAAATCATTCGTGTTTATTGTGTTGGGCAACAAAAATCTCAATGAAACTCATTCCCTACGCAAATGGTAGTTTGACTACACCGATATCAAACAAAATAACTTATTTTGAAATTTAGTCGCGAGCAGGTACATTTGGAGTTTAACGGCACGGTTGTTCGTGTTTTTCTGACCATGTCCGAAGAGGTGATGAGACACCCGGGCCAAGTTCAAGGATGTAAAAACTTCCCTCCGCAACGCTGGCATTACCTATGAAATGCTGCACCCAGCCAGACTCCGCGTCGATTTCAAGGGACAGAGACACGTGTTTCTTACTCCACAAACCTTGAAAATTTTGTCAGCTCGGTTATTAAAAGGTCACGAAACACCAAAAC